TCCCCGGTACAAATGAAATCCATGCAGACATTATTCTTGTAGATCAATTCAAAGCCACCATTAAATTCATGCGTCATATTCGTAATTTATTCTTGAGCATCGTTGACACTCATCGACTTGTTTGTTAACACTGAAGACAGTGCAGTTTCTCTCTATTAAGAAAACTGTGGTTCAGTAAGTCGTACATAGCAAATCTGTCCATGTTTTCTTTTATAGTTGCTTTGTTTCGTTATACTGCTATGTTTTCTTCATTCATAGTCATTAACGAGTTTACTTATTATAGATATAATGTGCGTAATTTGTCTACTTTCCGTATCACACCAGATCCATATGCAGGGACCATATCGTTATTATTTTGATGTAAAGTCAGGGCGTAAAGAAGGTTGCATTTAGGCATCTCGATTCAGTGACCATATAACTGTTGTTTTTGGGGATTCTGCAGAATAAAAGAAAGTTATGTCATCCGTGAGTGACGACGCTGCTAGACAGTCGTGTCTATTTACTTGAAGTTTATTGTCCTCATGCAGATTTCGATAATCTCTACCCATTTTGAGTAGAATCATTTTTTGATTTTAAGCGGATCATCGTTGCTGCCCCTGCCATATTTTCGCTTCAGAAAGCGCCCTTTGAAGGAGTTTAGTGATAGGTCGTAGGTAAATGCCGGAAACTGCTATATTTGTAAGCTATTAGAAGCTATAGGCTTAATAAATGTGTATATCGTCGGGATTTCAAGTAAATAAAATAAATCACTTCAATGAGTGCTAAAGAAATTTTTTGTGAACAACATTGATTAAACTAGTAGTTTCAAACGAGAGTTAACCATAGAAATCGTGATACTCTGTTTGCTGTGACTTTCGTAACCCTATCACGATGACATTTCATCTGCGTGCAAACGGACGCCATGCACGGTAATTGAAATTTTATTTTCAGTGGTAGCTGCTGTTTGAAACTGTTTATTTCCGTCAGATCCTGATAACGATTTGCAGAAACGAACTTAAGTAAATATTTTCTTTACATTGTAGTTAGTGGGGCTTTCAAGAGTCGATGTCTTCGTGATACATTTTAAATTAATCCATTTTTTCAAATATGAAACTTATCTGTTTGATTAATCATATATTATATTCAGAGCTGAATAACGGACTTAGCTAATCATGAGTAAGACGCACCCTCCGGAGCTTAAGAAATACATGGATAAGAAAATGCAGCTAAAATTGAACGGAAACCGCGTCGTATCCGGGGTGCTACGAGGATTCGATCCATTCATGAATTTGGTAAGGAATGACGAATATGTTTGCTTCTTATCTAACTTATTCATTAAGGTAATGGACGATGCTGTAGAACATCTTAAATCCGGAGAACAGCTTATGATTGGTATGGTGGTGGTTCGCGGCAATTCCATTACGTTGCTGGAGGCATTGGAAAGAATTTGACGTCGTATACAGAGTGTACATTAGAATAATAAATTTTTTCGACAACTTTCGATCTGATTCACCGTTTTCTTCTACGAAAATGATTATATCAGTTTGTGCTTGTGATCACCGCTTACGGCTTACAGTAGTATTTTTCCATGGATAATTTTTTTCAGATGTTAGCGGTCGACGAAGGTAGTTACAATTTTTCGAAAACGGTTTCGAATGAAGAAGTAAAATTTTTGATCGTCGTGCTAGAGGAAAGCATATTTGTTTGGGTGGGCAGTACAAGGGACCTGCAGGACATCGCCGCCGCCGTGCCATCTGACTTTTCCGCTGACTTCTGCGCAGTGACAGTAAAAAATGTGTCCAATTCTCACGTCAGCGAACGGATCGCTGAAAAATTGTGTCGGCTGATCCATAAGCAGGTGTTCGTCAGTTACTCGATTTCAGAGGATAATGCCGAGCTTGTTAACCAAATCACAAAACACATCGTGGAATTTTTAATTCAGAAAAAATAACGAGAAATTTGTAAAATTCATAAACGTTCAAAGCACCGGCACGACAGCACTGTGTGTTTTACAAAATAAATATTAGCAACGATTTATTGTTGGCTGTTCAGATTTGTCATTTGTTTCTCATAAACTGTTTTGGTTACTCGGTTTAACGGTGTCTGGCAAATTAAAGTGGAAGAGTTATCTAAATCACTTGACGTGTCCGTTATCTAAATCACTTGACGTGAATTTTATAATTTATTCCTTATGCTTAACTATCTCTAAATTACGACTGAGTAAGGTTAAGATGATAGTCATTATGTTTTCAGCGTTGCCACAAGTTTCGGTTTTGTTGTCCATGCTACACCCAAACTAGTACTTCTCTTCGCATCTTCGGAGTAACGAGTATCGGACTTCAGATTTGGCCAGGAAACTCGTTAATCGCCATAGAAATAAGTGAGTTCCGTATCGTAAGAAATAAACACGACATTATATGCTGCTGTCTCGTTTACCTCAAAACATCTGCTTACCTTGAATTGCTCAAATAACCTAAAGTAAAACGCAGCAGTAGTCAGCGAATACAAAAACAGTGTGGCTAGTCCATATCTATCAGTAACTCAGGAAACCGGTCTATAGCTATATATTTGAGTAAAACCAAAAAAGTCATTCTAGTCCCATTATCGTAATCTGATTGCCAAATGAAAGGGGCAGGATGCATTGGAATGAATCGTTGCGTTTTTCAGTATTTTGCAACAATAGTTATGGAAAAGGGTAATTATGCTCGCTGCCGTTTGTATGCTTACTACTTGATCGCAATATAAACAAAAATTTCTGCTGTCTTTCATAGGCACAAAAAACCAATCCGCCAAAACTAAATAAGTAATTATGATTGACAGCGAAATGAAGAAATACAGCTGCACAATCTGGAACAGCCGATGTGACGTGCAGCCTCACTGCAAGAAGAAATAGATTTTCATTGTTTAGATCTGTTTGTTGATGAATCTAAAAAGCAGCTCTAGCACGATAAATGCGGGTTATCCACAGTAATTCATCGTTACCAACTGCTCAGAGAATCATGAATTTTGGAAGTCTCAGCAGTTGACACTGATTCTACGAAAGATTTGAGTAGTAAATGTTTTATGCATTTATTCTTAGATATTGCATGACTTTGTATGGTATACTAGTTATGATTATTTTGCTTTCCTCGATTCATCTCGAAGTTTCCTCGAAACGGCGGGATATGAATCAAGTTCCTCAAATGGCAGGAAAACGCGCAAAGCAAACAGGGATTTTATTTGTAACCGTCACAAGCATTACATTCATTCATTGAATGTAAAGTTCTTTTCAACCCGCCTAGTGCCAATATTTTCCGGTTTCGTTGCGGCTCTCATTTGTGATATTATTTTTTGAGCTTTTGGTGCATCACAGATCGATGCCCTCTGCAAGAGCCACTTATGCATTTAAAAAATATCCACAATCAAGTGAGTACTACAGTCATCTTCCTAATTCGCAACTACCTCGTAAAGAAAACCCATCAGGATCGAATCTAAAATATTGAAATCAACGAGAACCTTCCATATACAGCTTGTGATATGCTGGCGCTGTCCACTGATTTCGACAATGCTGGAGAAATACGAGATGCCCATTGACAAATCCACCAGGTACGCTGAATTGTTACTAAGCATTATTTGCGATTGTTTCTCTTCATTATGCATTAAAGCAGTAAAACTGATCGACTCTGATAGACAGTACACTTTCCAAACGAATACATTAACTGCCAAGTCGGTCACTGTCGTTGTGAGTGACTATTTATCAACATCTTATTGAAACCCTCTGCACAACAAGAATCAGGTAGCCAGTGAATATACCATGAAATCTGGTCTTAGACGAGTTCTATGTTATGTTATACTACGGCATGCGAAGATACCGCAACGTTCATGCGATAGCACATAATGAATACCAGTGTCTTAAACACCGTTCGCAATGAGGTGACTAGCACACAAATCATATGAGATACATACGTTGCTCAAATACCACGGAGTCGTGGCCTGCTTTAACAGCTTCCTTTCCTCCCAGACTCACAGGATAAACGAGCCAGTGCAATACGCCCTGAAAGCTGACTATGAAGGAGTTGTACGTCAACAGTTATTACAACACTTTTGCACATTTTGTTCTTCATTAGTCATCGTGAGAGTTTCAGTATGGAAGAA